CTGTGAATATGTGGGGAATATTTTATTTCCTCTGCGGGGGTTGCCTCCCCAAGTTTGTCGCTATAGGGGGGTTTCCGCGCAATATAACCTACATATTTGCATTGTATAGAGTGAGAAGAATCCAATGATACCAAAATTGACGATATTGGAGCGGCGGAGGTAATATAGAAAATTAGCAATCGTTTGACTAGCATAGTAAGCCAAGAAAGTTATAGCCTTTTGAATAATACTTAAGATGTTAAAGCTGCTAACAATAGTCTTAGCTCCTAAGTGAAAGGAGCTTACATCTTGATATAAGTTACCTGGAGTGACACATGGAGATTGGGGGAAATGGACACCACCATCTTATAGAGCACAAGAAATATAATAAATAAACAACAAAGGTACAGCTGCAGGGACTTCATATTTAGTGGTAAATGACGAAAATATTGGATATCACCACTCAGAGACTAAGTCCACAACACCCTCACACAGCCAAAGTTCTTAATGTCTGTTTTCTGTAAGTTGACACAAAGTGCTAATAAAGGGGGTGCAGGGAGACCTGTCCCTGTGTCTTGGGAATAAATAAAAGGCAGGAAAGGTTGGTTTGGGTGTTTATGTTCACATAATGTCCCTGGTTTTAGGACTTAGTCTCTGGATGGTGTGTTGCTCTCGGTAACAATTGCCCTCATCTTGTAAATAGAAAAATTAATAGGGTAATTCTCTACAATATGATTGCACAGTTAAGGTTTACAATAGGACCACACCGACTAGGAGAAAATTGAAGATCATAGCGTTGTAGGTGACGAAAAACTACATGCATTGCTCTCAAAATTGATTTGCAGAAGTAAACCTGTTCGAGTTAAATGAGGAAATATTGGTGCACAGAATGCTGTGTGGGGACTAAGTCCCCTCGAGCCTCCAGCGACTAAGGCCCGTACTTTTAAAACCTTTCGCCAGGGCTGGCGAAAGGTTTCGCCGGGCGATCCGGAATTTCGTACTTTTAAAATCATGCCTGGCGAACGTTCGCCAGGGCTGGCGAAAGATCATATTGGAACAGCCTGGCGAAGCAAAGAGAGCTGTTTGAATACCATTTTCTTGCTTTCAAATTATAAATTAGTAACATATTTGTGTATGATATGATGTAGGAATTACATTGAAATTCTAAAATATCTTAAAATCATTATTTATTTTGAAATAACGTATATACGTATTTTTTTCAAGACCTTCGATGTTCCAGTCGAGAGCTCAAGACATCAGCTGTATTCCTACCCCCCTACCCCTACCCCTGAGATGACTTATTTAGATTAAGGTTGTTGTTATTTTTAAGGATAATGTTCTTTTCACAAATGTTACCAGAAGTGTTTTTATGGCGGCATGTTTACTTTTGGCTATAGAAACATAGCTCCACCGCCCTATAATGAGGCGTCTCTAATGATACCCTTGTAGGCCTACAGTTCAATATCTTATATCAGTTAGGAATAGTAAAATAGTAATTTTTAAACTCTTGTTAAAGTATAAAGTTATTTTTTGTATAAAAGTATAAAGTTGATATAGTATAGTATAAAGTACTTTTAAAACCTGAGTGAGGGAGGCCTTACTTTTAAACTAAGGCAGGTGTTCGCCAGGCCTGGCGAACGAAAGGGATCGCCAGGCGCTAACATCTTGGATTCCTGCTAAATCTAGCGCTTCGGCGAATGAAAAAAACGCGAGAAAAAGCAAAAGGTTTTAAAAGTACGGGCCATAAAGTTAACCTTGTTATAGTATAAAGTGTAGTATAGCATAAAGTATAAAGTTAATTTTGTTATA